TAAAATGTGCGTTTTGTAGTGATCTGTCTCTCTCTCTCATACGGAACCTATATTAAAAATTGAAATTTTGAAGTCGAATATCTCAAATTTTCATCCCGCTATGAATGTTGCGCTTGCGACCACGTATAGGGGATACTTAAATTCACATATGGTGCAAAGTACAAAGAAATTCTAAGAAAAGTGATTTTTGAGAGAACGTCCTTAAGATTGCTTAGATGTTTAGACGTAATAGTACATTTGGTTTGATAATGCTGCAGTTTGACTCTTAATAAGTTGGTATGTTATGACTATCTAAATCAGTATTCGCACAAGCAAAAGCTATTTTATTCTGTTTCTCATATCATTAACATATCAATAATATATGTATCAGTAGTAGTAAAATATAAATACGCAGAGTGAAACTGTGCAACAGAAAAAAGAAATGTTATATGGTAGTTTTTCTCCACTTTAAAATATATTTACGCATACTTTTTCATCAAACAAGTATTCTCAATAAATTTTTTTTAGATAAGTAAAATAAGTAATGTTTTGAACAAAAAAGTGTAAAATATATAGTGTTACAATATATTTCTCAGTATTTAAACTTTGGCTATTGTTTTCTTCTTTTTCTTAAGTAAGTAATAAATCTGATGCATTATGTATCGTATTCATTTCATGGCATTATATAGGGTGTTGAAAAAATGTGATTCCACATTTTAGGAATATGTAGTACTCGTAAAAGCAAATCAAAAGTTTTAATAAATATTATTAAATATTATTAGGCATATAATTATTAAATATTATAAATGTTATTCTAAAAATCTTTTATTTTTGAGTTTGTGACGTGACGCCTAGTAAAGGCTCCGTCACAAGGGCCGAGGCCCGGCCGAGTGGGGAACCTGGGGTCGCACCCTCGGGGTAGGAGGGAATGCGATCCCTGTAGGATCTTAGCTATTCGCGAAATGTATATTAATGACGCCGAATGGCGCTGAGTTTGAGCTAGGTTGGCCGAGCGGTTGGTCCGATAGCGGCTCAAGAAGAGAGAGACGGAGTCGCGAGATGGCTGGGGAGC